GTTAATTTTTGCAAAGAGTTAACTGTTTATTTAATTGTTCTATAATTATCTAGCATCCTTTTTATCCTTTAGATTTCGTAAAAAGTTATGTTTGTTTGAGATTGAAATTAAGTATTGTAAATCTTCCGATACTATATTCTTGTTGATAACAAAAAAAACAAATAAAATAAAAACCAAACCTAATAATTAAGTATTGAAATTAAGTTTTTTAACAATGAAATAGAACTGCGCGGTTCATTCCCATCTAATAATAATAATCTACTAGTACAACACCCGTGTATTACACGGGTACTTGCTAATTTTTTTCTTAAAATTTAAAATTAATGAGAAAAAGTAGTTTGAAAACTTAAATACCTTTTATAAGAATATATATTATTATATATTTATTATGATACTTTTTATTTGTGCGATTTACTTGTGTTGTATTATACTAATTTTTTAACTTACAATATATAACTACATTAAATATAAATATATCAATTGAGAAATAATTTTATTTTTCTAATGAATTTTAATAAATATTATTATTTTTTATTATTATAAAGATAAATATAATTTATTTATTTTATATATACAATATGGATGTCAAATCGAATATCATCAAAGATGATTAATTTGATATATTATATATGTAAAACCGATAAAAAATATAAAAATTATCTACTTTTAAAATACTTTTATAATTCAATAGCTAATTGAATGAAGCAAATCAAAATTTAGAGATATATACCTAAGTTAGCTAAATAATATTTATGGAATACCCGAACCTAGATTATTAATTATTAATATATTAATATTATTTGTCCAAACTTAATTACGAAACATGATTTTTCGCCAAATAGGATTCCGAAGCACCAGAAGCAGCCACGTAGGCTCAGCGCATTCGGGAATTATATATAGGGAGGATATATATATAATTGCTAGCATATAACATTTAATAAAACTTATTTAATAAAACCTCTAAAATATTCCCTCTATTTTCGGTTACAAAATTTACCATTAATATTTTTTTTTACTTCTCATTAATACATCCTATTAAGTGTAATCATGTATTTTTTTCTATTATGTTATATAATAGTTATTGTCAATACCAACTAATAATAATTCACAATCAATATAAATTACATAATTATAAACAATTGCTTCAAGTTATTTATATTAACATCAATTTTTCTTTTTCTTTCGTATCTCATGAAAAAATTTCTTTAAATACAATTAGTAAATTATTTTAATATCATAGTCAAACGACTTTAGAATTAATCTTATAAACAATTGTTTTTTAATTATAATAATAATAATAATCAAATTGTTATTATATAATGATAATAATAAACAATTGTTCATAATAATAAAATCGTTAATATATTTTTCCTAATGATCAATTTTTTGAAAATGTAATATGTTCATTGTCTAGAATTTTAATATCAAATTGTCAAATATTACTTATAATATTTTATGTACATCTGTGCATGTCTCTGCTTACAGTTTAATTACTCCTCTCCTATTGTTGTTACGTCTCTTATTTCCGTAAAACTCGGAAAATAAATAAATAAAAATCCATCCCGATCTACCTATTTCCGTAAAAACTCGGAAAAAAGAACAAAAAAAATCCGACCCGATGTTTCCTATTTCCGTAAAAAGCCAGCCCCACAAAATAATAAAAACTCGGGAAAAAATAAATAAAAGAAAATTCGGTCCCTAATGAATCAAGCCCTAACATATTCAAACCAAATACATCTGCCGACAACGTGGTAGCCCTCCTATAAAGCGCAGTAGTATTTATCCTAGTCACGGGCTATGATATACTTGGGTGTTGGGTGGATTCTATAAACCTTTAGACCTTTTTTCTAAAGTTGCATGCAACTTAAAAGCAATTTGCACACAGCCTTACCTTGTCCTTTTTTATTTTCCCATTTCTTTAGGACTCCACAGCCTTTAAGCCCATCTTTTTGATCCTAGTCCCGGTTACACGAGTGTAACTGGGACGTAGCTAGAAAAAAATTTTGATCGGGGCTGCGCTAAATATATTATTGTTATTCAAACTAAGTTGTTCTCTAACATAGTTTGATCCGACTTGTAAAAGTTCGAGCTTAACTTTCTTGTATATTTAAATAAGTCAGTCTTTCAGACAAGTCAGTCGAGCGTGTTAATTTGCGAATAATTCAGTAAGAGTTTTGGGTTATGTTTTGGGTTTTAAGGTTTATTAAATGAATTGAACTGATTTTATACGAGTCGAACTCAAGGTAAAATAGTTATTTGTTTATTAAACAATTAAGCCACGTCGACAACTAGTTTATTAAATGAGCATGAGTTTGAATTTGAAATACTCGATTCGAAAATTTTGGGTAGACACATATTTAAAGTAACCAAAGTACGAAAATAATTTTTAACTTTATATACCGGACTTGAATCACACAATAAATATAAGAATTCTGACATTTTCTAACTAGTCGTGTTTTATATGTATATCACTCTCCTTGACACACTTGTGAATTTTTAACATTTTTCTTACACATATGAGGAATATTTATTTTTAACTGTTTCAGCATTTTTTCTTAAAAATGCACCTAGATAAATTTTCTCATGTACTTGAATTTTAATTAAAAAAACCATAATTTATTCAAAGAACTACTATAAAACGGTGTAATAGTCCCATCATTCTGTTATATGTCATGCCATTTAAAGTACATATGCCATTTCATTGAATTTGTCAAATAAATAAATGATATTTAATAGTAAATTTCATATAATCAATTATCATTATTTAAAAATTCATTGAAAATATAAACTTGATTGTAAAATTTATATATTCAGTTACATACTAAGTATTCTAATGAAAGTCGAACACAATCAAATATTTTATCAAATAAAATTATTCATATAAAATTCGTTTAACCAAATAATAAAAAAAAACATATACAAGAATTACATAAAAAAAAAGGCATAACAATCTAAAAAGAAAAGTGGAAAGAAGAAAAAATAAGACTGGGCTAATATAATCTAAAATAAGATTACTATTGTTCTAAAAGCGGGCTAAAATATTTTTTATGAGTATAAATATAGCATAGTCGAAAAATTAAGATCAAGCTGAAAACCACCAGCCTGTGGGTTGCTCCGCCCACACGACCCTACTTATATCACTATGGGAAATTGAAAGAGCTAGGCCATGTGAATGTGATATGATCTATCTAATTATCCTTTTTAAAGTAATCAAAAGTTACTCTTGCGGATTTTTATTGCATCAGCATAGCTCAATGTGAAAATTGAATACAATATGAAATTATGGAAAATGCTATTACAATTTTGTTACAGAACTATTCCGTCGGGATTTGTAATCGTTAGATCATCATGTAACTGTCGTGAATAGTTGATCTAACGATTACCAACCCGACGGAATGGTACCGTAGAGTCTCTAAAATTATATATAGTACAATAAAATAAATAAAAACAAGTATTAATATTCATAATTATTTATTTTTACACTAATCAATATTTGTTTCATTTCTTTAATACGTTCAATTACAACTACTGCATACACATACGTACTAATTGGATAAATAGAACACAGTGTTTGA